TCCAGAATTATGTTTTAAAGCCTTTATTGAGGATTTTAAAGTATGAAGTTTGTCCATTAGAGATAAGTTTTTATCTTTGGACATAATTTTTATGGCATAAACCGTGCCTTCTTGTATTGACAATCTTTTTGCCAATCTGTCATAAGCTTTAGACAAAATCCGATAGTCACATTTAGCAGTTTTGATTCTCTCAGTTACTATTTTAGTGCCTACAGAAAGGGACTGAAGCTTACAACCCAAATCAGCTGTTCCCTCTTCCATAGTAATGAGTTTTTCCTTAATATCAGCCACTAATGTTTTAGTTCCTACAGAAAGGGACTGGAGCTTACGATCCAAATCAGCTGTTCCCTCTTCCATAGTAATGAATTTCTCCTTAATATTAGTCTGTACCTTTTTTAAATTTTTCTCAGTTGATCGAGTCATGTTAAACAAAGATCTGTTCTCCTCCTGGAGAACTTCAAACTGATTCTTGAGAAGATTGTTGTCATTCTCAATTGTTTTTAAGCGTGCAACCTCTGCTCGTAAAGACTTTATCATATTTCTATTATCAAACCATATAGTGCCAAGGAAAACTACGAATCCCAGAAAGATCCATAGAGGTGGGGTGATAGACACCTCTTGTAAAATCTCCCACATGGTACAATTAAAAAAACTGTTAAATTCTTGAATGGTAACGTGTTCAGACATTTTAATTATAAAAGAAAATTTTTTCTCTTACCTGCAACGACTGGTTCCTGCCGGTGGTGGTCTCTGTGGTTTTGGAGCCTGTCTTGGAACTAGCTCTTGTAGACCAGGTTGGCCTCGAACTCACAGAGATCCGCTTGTCTCTGCCTCCCGAGTGCTGGGATTAAAGGCGTGTGCCACCACAGCCTGGCCGGCCTTGAACTCACAGAGATCCGCTTGCCTCTGCCTCCGGAGTGCTGGGATTAAAGGCGTCTGCCACCACCGCCTGGCCGGCCTTGAACTCACAGAGATCTGCCTGCCTCTCTGGATATTATGGGCCTGAAGGCAGAGTGTATCTCGGACTCAGCCCTGGGGCCCGAGTCATAAACTAAGAAAATGACACCCGGGAGCGTGCTGTGTTAGCTAGCAGGCTACGCGCTTGAGTCGGGGGCAAAATAGCCCGACGTTGGACGCCAAAATGTAACGGCGTAAGCGAATGCAGACAGATTGTCAAAATATAGACAGCTTTAATGGAGGAATAGACTTACAGAACCACTGTTCCCGCGGAGACCAGGAAAGCAGAAGAGAGCGCTGGGAGCACGCTCACCAATTTTATAGGAGAACTTTAGCCTGAGGCGAACACGCCCCCTAAGGGGTGGGACTTATCCCTACACCCTCCTTTGGAAATTTATGCTGGAATATTTATTTGGACAGGAAAGAAGTCATTCAAACGGAAATCGGAACACAGGACAACAAGAACCGGAATCAGCATGGGAGGTTTTACTCCCTGGGGACGCTTGAGTCACTCTTGATGCTCTGAAAGTCAAGAGCTGACGGTCACCAAGGACATTTTTGTTTTCAACGGCGGCTTTGTTTTCCTTTCATCGTTGTCTTCCTTAAAACAGCTCATGCATTTGCAGCAAAGAGGCTCTGGGGAGCCTTGTCTGCCTTGGAGACCGTGGCTGGCAGCATCTGCGACCTACTGGGGCTGCCAGCACCAATGGTGACATGCTTATTCCGGAGCAGGTTTAGGACCGCGGTTTCCTGGGGCCGGAAGGAGAGTGCAAGCCCCAGCTTCTCTTCCTTAGCTGGGAAATGAGTACGGACAGCGTCTGTTTCACGAGCTTTGGGGCTTGCCTGCCTGGTGTTAACACCCAGATCGATCGTGGAGTCCCCCCAAATCCAACTAGGAGACCAAGTCCTGTTTGTAAAAACAAAGAGCCTTTATTCTTACTCAAGTTCAAATTCGGACTCTCCTTGCGTCCAACGCATTGGCAGGATCAGAGAGCCCCAAGCTCAGCTGGGGTGGTTTTTTTTGTTTGTTTGTTTGTTTGTTTTTTTGTTTGTTTGTTTTTTTTATAATAGCCGAGGTTGTGGTGAGGGATTTCTAAGGTTCAGGACCCGTGATTGGCTGACATTTGTCTGGGGGGGTCCTGATGAAAAGTGATGGATGTGTGCTGGCAGGTGATCCTATCTACAATGGTTAGAACATTAGGAATTTCCTTTGGATGGTCTGTTCCTGGGCGGTGCCTGGGTGGTCTCAGTTCGTGGTCTTCCTCGCAACTGGGTATCGCCTTAGGGTAAACGACCGAGACTGGGACTGAGAAGGTCCTGTTGTGGTTGGGTCCCACACCTGGTACCACACCTGGTACCACACCAGGCACTGTATTTGGGAGACGTTAGTTACTCTGTAGCTTCTAAAACCCAAACCCCAGCCTGACACGGAACCCGATCTTACCACATCACGTACGTTTGCAAGCTGATCAATCCTGAGCTGACGTAACAATGGCACACCTCTATAGAACGAACTGTCCATTAGGCCAATCCTCCTAAAACTAACAAGCCTTCCTTTAAAACCTGAAATGCTGAACCAGGGGTGTGCACAAGAAAGGGGGAAAGAAGCAATGAGCATAAGGAATGACCTGGAAATTACAGGTGTAGGTGAGAACTTTCCAGAGAATGCCAGCAGCACAGGGCATAGACCTAAAAATCAACAGATGGGGTGCATGAAATTGAAAAGTCTCTGCACATCAACGAGAACTATCAGCAGAATGAACAGACAGCCTTTTTTTTTTTTAAAGTTTATTATGTGTAGTGTCCTGTCTGCATGTCTGCCTGCAGGCCAGAAGAGGGCGCCAGATCTCATTACAGATGATTGTGAGCCATCATGTGATTGCTGGGAATTGAACTTCAGAGCTCTGGAAGAGCAGCCAGTGCTCTTAACCACTGAGTCATCTCTCCAGCCCCCAGACAGCCTCTTGAACAAGAAAAAAAAAAGTCTTTGCCATGTATGCTCCAGACAAGGAGTTAATTCTATGGTGTGTGTGTGTGTGTACACACACACATACCTGCCAATCAATGAGTGGCTAATGGAATGAACAGACAGCTCTCAAAAGAAGAAACAGAAATGGCCAATATTTTTCAAAATGTTAAGTAGCCTTAGCCATCAGCGAAATTCAAATGAAAACCCCTTAGAGATTCCATCTCCCCCGCCTCCGTGGAGTAGATAAGATCAAGAAATGACTGCAAAGGTGGTGGGGTCCTTGTTCGCTGCTGGTGGGAGTGTGAACCAGTGTGACCACTATGGGGATCAGTGTGATGATTTCCCCCAGAAAATGGGAAGTAGAACTACCATCGAGCCCAGCTGTGTCATTTTTGGTACCCAAAGGCTTCTCTAGCCTACCTCAGAGACACTTGCAGTGCGGTTCCTTGCTGCTCTGTTCACAATAGCCAGGAACCCGCCTAGATGTCCACCAGTAGAAGAAACTGGGCCATCCATACACAGTGGAATATCAGCTGTGAAGAGAAATGGAATTTGCAGGAAACGGATCAAACTGGAAAGTGTCATCATATGCGTGAGATAAGTGTGTCTCAGATGAGACTTGTATCGCCATCCTCGCGTGGGGATGCTAACCTTTAGTGTCTGTGTCTTAGTTTCTTGTTCCTGCTGCTGAGATAAAATACCCCAACAAAAGCAACGCGAGAAGGAAAGTTTTATTTCCACTCCCAGATGGAGGCACAGTCCATCACTGTGATGGAAGTCACAGCAGCTTGGGTTTGGGGCAGCTTATACATCCCAGCTACAGTCAGAGGGAACAGAGGTGCGTACTTGCCCGTTCTCGGCTTCCTGTCTCCGTTCTACACAGTCCAGGATACCCTACCCAGAAGAGGTCCTGCTCGTAATTCAAAATAACCCCTGACAGTCTTTCCCAGAGGCTGACTTGAAGCCTATATTGTCTCCTAGGCGATACGGGATTCTGTCACGTTGCTGACCTACCCATCAGAGCATGTACGCAAATGAAGGATTGTGAGGGAGAGCAGAGACTGAAATTAGATCGGTAGGTAGGAGGCTCCAGAATGGAGTGAGGGGTTGAGAACTAGGGAGCGGGCAAAAAAGCCATCTGTGAATGAAAAGAAGAACAGAGGCCACTGGCGGTGGAGGGGCAGCTAGGGTGGGTAATAATGAGAGGGAGAGAAATGACTAAAGGAAATTTTGTTTGAAAAACGTTATAGTGAAACTAATTCTTTGAACTGAAATTTCCTTAGAAATTTAATTTATAAAAGGGGGGGCTATATACCTAAAACCTGATGTAGGGGTGCTTGCCTGTAATCCCAACAATCAAGAGATAGAGACTGGCCATCCTGAGCTGAGGGCAGCTTGGGTGGTATAAGGAGATCCTGCCTTACAACATCAGGCCCTGGAGGTGTGGCCCAGTATTGGAGGGGTTCCTGCCATGTCCAAGTCCTTGGTTTGATCCCCCATACAGAGGGACTGAGGCAGACGTATACTGAGACTTTGTGTGACTGAGGAAAGGCAAGGGTTTGTTGAGCTAGCACAGAAATGGACTCCAGTCTTCTGAGTCAAAAAGAAAAACTCAAACAACCCAGCAGCAATTAGATGGAGCGTGCTGGGTAGTTTTATGTCAACTTGACACGAGCTAAAGCCATCTGAGAGGAGGGAGCCTCGACTGAGGAAGACCTCTGTAAAATAATATCAGGCTGCAGCAAGCCTGTAACTCCTTAATTAGTGATTGGAGGTGGGGCCACCCCTGGGCTGGTGGTCTTGGGTTCTATAAGAAAGCAGGTTGAGCAAGCCAGTAAGCAGCACCCCTCCATGACCTCTGCATCAGCTCCTGCCTCCAGATTCCTACCCTGTTTGAGCTCCTGTCCTGACTCCCTTCAATGACAAACAGTGATAGGGAAGTTTAAGCCAGATCAACCCTTTCCTCTCCAAGTTACTTGGGTCATGGAGTTTCATCACAACGATAGAAACTCTGGCTAAAACGAGTTGGGACGAGGATAGTGGGGTGTGGCTGTGGCAGACCTGACCGTGTTGCTTTGGGGAGGACTGTGGAAGGACTTTGGAACTTTGTGCAAAAATAGCCATTGCGGGCTTAGGTTCCGGCGACGTGGCTAAATGCACCAAGAAGGTCGGGATCGTCGGGAAATACGGGACCCGCTATGGTGCCTCCCTCCGGAAAATGGTGAAGAAAATTGAAATCAGCCAGCACGCCAAGTACACGTGCTCCTTCTGTGGCAAGACCAAGATGAAGAGACGAGCCGTTGGCATCTGGCGCTGTGGCTCCTGCATGAAGACAGTGGCTGGGGGGGCCTGGACCTACAACATGACTTCTGCCGTCACAGTGAAGTCCGCCATCAGAAGACTGAAGGAACTGAAAGACCAGTAAAAGTGCTACCATTTGATACACAAGCCTACTAACTACAATAGTGCACAGCCAACTAAATAAATGGGTTAATTTACGTAAAAAAAAAAAAAAAGCCGTGCGTGTTCAGTGTTTGGTGAGCTCTTCTGTTGGATCTTTGAAGATAAGAACGTTGAGGCACTGCAGATGATGGAGGTTTGGCTTGAGATGTTTCAGAGGGAAGCTTAAAGACTCGATCAGGGCCATTTGTTATTTTGAATTAAGATTCTGTGGTTCTGGTTAGCTGGGGCTGAAGATTCACCTGTGATCAACAAGACACTGAAGCTACTGAAGTGAACATTTGCTTTGCTGGGCTGCTGGCTGCTGGCTGTCTGGAACTGAGAAATTAGCAATGATCCAGAAGCGACCAGCATCATGTTTCCGCAGAGTCAGCACACAGATGCTTCATCCCATAGAAGACCAAGATTGGACCTCAGGCCGGCAGCTGGACTTGTGAGTGTAAGAGTCACCCAGGTGAAACTGGTTTGGAAGGCATGAAGGGGTTGTGGAAAGCAGCTGAGGCTTGGAACTCTAAGAGCCCACTGGTGAAGATTCAGCCTCAGTGGCAGGTGAAGACTCAGGACTGAAGGGGTCATGCATAGACATTGAGGGCTGGCACCATGAGGAGAGCCTGTGAGAGGCTATTGGTGAGAGCGCAGCCTGGCTGCCGCAGAAGACCCCAGCACCGACCGTGGGATGGCCACCAAGAACAGCAGCAGCAGTTGGGTGGCGACAGCCAGAGCCTGGAGGACAAGCTGTGTGTGCTGCAGGGGGCAGAGCTGGAGAAGGAACCCAAGCTCCTAGAAGGTACACAGAAAACCGGGAGTGAATCCAGGTATTGGACATTGAGTTAGTTATACTTTTAGTGTTTGGTTTTGCTTTGTGACTGTGCCCCGAACTTCCTAAACTTCTTCCCTCGTAAAGTTAGAAAGTAGTTTAATTCCATTTTGATTTTGCAGAGACTTTGGGTTTTAAAAGACGTTGGCCCTTAAGAGAGATTGGGTCCTTTAAAGAGACTGAATTTTTAATGTGTTTGGATTTTTAAAGACTGCGTGATTTTTAAAGTTACTTATATTTCTAACTTGAGATCTCGGGGATGAGCAAGAAAGGAAGGGTTGTGTCTCAACAGTGATGTGTTTGTGTGACAAGTTGACAAGGGGTCAGCTGTGTTGGCTGATTTCATGTCGGTGCGACACAATCTAAAGGCATCCGAGGAGGGAGCCTCAGGTGAGAAAACGCCCCCATAAGGCCAGGCTGTAGGAAAACCTGCTGGGCATTTTCTTAACTAGTGATTGACTGACGGCGGGAGGGCCCAATGTGGGTGGTGCCATCCCTGGGCTGGTGGTCCTGGGTTCTATAAGAAAGCAGGCTGAGCAAGCCATGGGGAGCAAGCCAGTAAGCAGCACCCCCTCCATGGCCTCTGTATCAGCTTCTGTTTCCAGGGCCCTGCCCTGCTTGAGTGAGTTTCTGCCCTAACTTCCTTCTCTAATGAACAGCAATGTGGAAGTGTCAACCAAACAAACCCATTCCTCCTCAACTTGCTTTGGTCATGGTGTTACACCATAGCCAGAGCCGTGGGTTAGAGGCAAGAGATGCCACAAACTCACACCATACAAAAGAGCTGAGGTGGGAGGCTTATTGGGGGGAGGGGCGGCTCTGAATGAGCTCAGAAGGAAAAGAAAGGGGGGGGGCTTGCCTTTTATGAGGGAATATAGTGCATCTGCGTAGGGAGGGTTGCTCTACTTGGTGACTGGGGTAGCTCCAGGGTCACATCTTGGCTGCTGTTGATGACGAGTCCCGCTAGGTCCCTGAGAGCAGGCCAGAGTAAATGTCTGCGTGCTAACAGTAACTATGAATGCAGAGAGGAATACCAGAACTATCAGGGACAGTTGCACATTGGTGGCAAGTGGTGACACAGAAAACACTTCTTTTCAGCGTCGGAGATTGATCCTGAGTGTGCCAGGAATTGTCCCCAGGACAAGGAGGACATTTAGTTTTCTTTTGTTTGGTAAATGCCAATTCTCAGGTGATGAGGCAGGGGTGGTGGACATTTGGAGGAGGAAAATGAACTCGATATAATGGCCGAGGATACTGAATCTGAGCTTGAACTTGATTTCTCGAGAAGTACAGTTGTTCAGCATGTGATGTCCCTGCTCCTTGGGGCTCCCTCCTTTATTTGGGGTGGTTTATTTCGCCTGTAGGGGCCAGATGGTGGTGGTGCACGCTTTTAATTACCAGCACTCAGAAGGCAGAGGCAGGTGGATCTCTATGAGTTTGAGGCCAGCCTGGTCTACAGAGCAAGTTACAGGAGAGCCAGGGCTGTTACACAGAGAAACCCTGTCTTGAAAAACAAAAACCAACCAAACAACCATGTTCAGGGCTATAGGTTCCCTGGGAGGGAAATGGACAATTATTTCTACGTACCAACTGGAGGTGGGGTTGTACAGTCACGCTATCCATCTGCTTTCCCTAGGATTAATTTCTGCACGTAGCACTGGAGTTAGGTTTTGGAAGGGATGGGTGTTTCAAGAGGATGGGGCAATGGTTCACTAGAGTTATTGGCAGCACGGACAGACAGACAGAGGGGCATCAGCGATGCTGGAGCTCCAGGGGAGAGTTCAGGCCCCAACACCAGAGATAGCACAACAGGGTTCCTGAAGAGAATCAGAGCCCACTCGGCAGAGGATGAGGAAGGTTCACAGCCTGCTCTCGGAGAGGAAGCAGGGGATGGGGTGGGGAACAGCATAAGGCTCCTGTGAGTGGTGGCACCAGCCAGCGGGCTAGCTCTGGAATCACAAACAGTGACCCAGTAGGATGCCAATCGGCATATGGGAGGAGGAGGACCCAGCAGAGGCTGCATTCTAACATTACAGCCTTCAAAATTCTCCCTAAGCCGGATGGATGTCTGTGGCTAAAGTGCCGGCTTCTGTTCTGTGGTCCTGATGCCCAGGTTCTATCTCAAAGGAGTGGGGGCCCATGGAAGGAAATCTGGTTTGATTTCTCTGTCGGCCCACACTTGCCTCTCTTAGTGAAATTTTATTCCATCTCCTGTAAATGTCAAATGTGACATCTATTTTTACCTTTTCCTTGAAGCAAGTTGTTCATTTCTTTTTTTTATTTATTATGTATATAATATTCTGTCTGTGTGTCTATGCCTGCAGGCCAGAAGAGGGTACCAGACCCCATTACAGATGGTTGTGAGGCACCATGTGGTTGCTGGGAATTGAACTCAGGACCTTTGGAAGAGCAGTCAATGCTCTTAACCTCTGAGCCATCTCTCCAGCCTTTTTTTTTTAAAAAAAAAGATTTATTTATTTATTATGTATACAATATTCTGCCTCCATATATGCCCACACGCCAGAGGAGGGCGCCAGATCTCATTACAGATGGTTGTGAGCCACCATGCGGTTGCTGGGAATTGAACTCAGGACCTCTGGAAGAGCAGCCAATGCCCTTAACCACTGAACCATCTCTCCAGCCCCCAAGTTGTTAATTTCTTGAGAGAGGCATCCCTCCACATTCCGGCTTCACAAGGCGGACCCTAACAACCTCAGAATGCAACAACTCCCTACTCTCTGACCCCAGTAGCTGGAGGTCAGCTCCAGGTCCCGGGGGTACTAGTGAATAAAGAGCAAAAATCTGCTTCAACGCAGGGTGTTAATGGTGATTTGAACACAAGCAACTATCCAATGGCAAGGTGATCTCTGGTTGCCCATGCTGGGTAGACCACAACACATCATCTGTTGGCTAAGAATTGCCCTATCCCCAGCTTCCAAGGGTGTGGTAAGAGTGTCTGGGAAAGCTATACTGGTCTCTGGGGGGGGGGACGACAATATACTTCATGGGACACATGTCCTTTAACAAGGTAACAGTGTTCCTACAACCGTGACCTGAGGAAGTGATATCAAAGAGTACCAAGTTGTGTGTGAGGTGTTCGCTGTGGCATTCATAACAGAAAGGCTGGAAGTCGCAGAAATGTCAGAGTTAAGTGAACCTTCTCCCCTTGCTTCTATGGGTTGGTGTCACCAATCCCACGGTGCACCCAAGTTGGCACCGCGAAAGAAAGGATCTTTGCTTGAGGTAAGGTCTTCCACTGCTCTCTTCGGTGGCTGTTGGAAAGACCCATAGATCAACTGTGCCCGTGGAGTGGCCAGTAAGGGAATCAGAATGCTGGCTCTCAATGTCACTGCCCAAGGTCCTTCAGCTGGTTAACCAGGTACCGCCTGAAATTTCCTTTTGGAGACATTATGCAAACACCGTGGGGTTGGAGTGTTAGGCCAGACCAGAGCAGACCCGTGCTCAGTCCTCACAGGCCATGTAAAGCTCCAGTAACAATTATTTCTCAGGAGGGATGAAGGCTAGCATGTGGAGATTCACTGTGCCTGGCATGACTCCATGGATGGACTGAACTGAGGATGTGAGGGAATAAAAGAAAGAGAAACAGACACCCAGGAAAGCTGGGACTGAGCGGAGTGGGCTCTGGGGTGGAGAGGCTGCAGCACCCCAGAAGCTCAGGGCATTTATTACAAACGGTCAAACGGAGGCACGGTTACTGTGTACAAATAAACAAGGAGGCGGGGCTAGTGTGTATAAATAAACAAGAAAGTGGGGCTATTGCATATAAACAAACAAGGAGGTGGGGCTACCACATATAAATAAACAAGGAGGTGTGGTTACTGTATATAAATAAACAAGGAAAGGAGGTGAGGCTACCATGTACTAAGACACAAGGAGGCTGGGCTATTACTGTATACAGCTGAATCAAGGAGGCGGGTTTCACAATACTCTTCAGGCCACATACATCCGGAGAGAAAAAGCTGTGATGGACACATTTTTCTATGCTCACTGTCACTGTCACACACAAGGACTGGAAGGCTTTGCCATTCCTCTGAGACTCACTCAGCCACGGGGGTGGGGGGTGGGAGAGTAGGGGGTGGGAGGAGGAACTTTGCCATCTCCACATGCCACTTGGAATGGCCTTCCTCTTAAACCAGGGTTTTCTTCTCTAAAAACCTCCCTTAAAGGGCACAAAACAGACTAAATGGCTGTGCAGACCCGTC